TGGGTTAAACCACTCGAAGATTTTCCTTTTTTTCCAACTTACAGCAATTCTATATCATTCCCAAACAATTTTTTAAGGGGTGGAGGAGAAATCTCTCAAAGTTAACTATACAGGTCCAACTATCCACACTATAATGTATGTTTAGATATATCTACCAATTACATAAAATGTATACAATTTTTTTAGCAATACATACACTGTAAAACATGCATTGTGTGAATGCACATTTTTTGTGTACATACTTTCTACTTGTATACATGTGTGTTATCAATTATGGGAAATATCTCGTTTTGGTGTAGCAAATAATGACGTTCATTATAAAATTCTATAAAGACGAGGTCCATAAAATTACTGAATTTTGGATAGAGTTCTCCAGACTTTTCATATATTACATAGTAATAAACTAAGTTTGGCAAAGTATTGAAATTTAGGTAATTTTGTTAAAGATTCACATTATTATTTGTCTGAGAGAGTAATCAAAAACTATTTCCTTCCTAAGATATAGACTACTAAGCACAACCTCTCCTGTCAGAAATCCCTCTTAGAATAAAAACTATTCTAAACTAAACTCAAGACAGAAGATGTTACTGGTATTATCTTATCACAAACCAACAACTATCCCAAAACTTATTCTCAACCAAACTGGTCGATTAAGAGGATAACAGTGAGGTGCTCTTGTGTGTGAATGTCAGAGTACTAATAATGTGGATCTTGGGTCAAAGTGGCACTGTACCAGAGCAAAATGGTGTGGTAGGGTGAGTCAAAGAGGAACATACCTAGGGAGATAAAAAAAAAAAAAAAAAAAAAAAAAAAAAAATCTTATAGATTTCACTATCTCTTTTATTATACAATCTTTCACAAGTTATGATACATAGCTATAAGAGCTAACAAATGTTTGTAGTGTTATTTTACAAATACAAATTGCATGCACCATGCACAAGATTTGCAATCATCTTACCTTGCAGCTTTTAAAACAGATTTGGTTTGAGTTCTAGGGTTTGCAGGAATTGGTGGAGGTGGTGGTGCTGATAGTGAGGATGACTTTTTGTTAACAACAGTTACACTCATAGGCTGTCCATCTAACTGCCTGTTGTTGAATACCTCAACTGATCTGCAAGACAAAAAATGACCCTGAAAACAGCAGTCTCAGACTCCTGAATTGATAGACAAAAAAATATTTGAATATTGTGCAAGTTTTCTTACCCCAATCCTAAAAGGGACTTTATATACCTGAAAGCATCCTCCTCGTTCAGAAAAACTGCTTCGGCAATGCCCTCTCTCACTATTCGAGCAGAGATAATTGGTCCAATAGTACCAAACAGCTCTTCCATGTCTTCAACACTAACACAGTGGTGCAGATTAGTAACCAATACCTGTAAAAACACATAATATTGAAGTTTTAACTGAAAATAACATGGTTATGCCATTGGCTGCAAACAAATTACCTCTATAAGGAAAATCACCAAGATGAAGTGAAGACAATATAAAAATATCAACTTAATTCCTTAAAAAGGTTTAATTTTTTCAATGTACCTTGTATCCCTGAGGAGCACTAGACCTTTGAGGCTGATCAAGGCGTGCCATTAGACCAGATGACAGAGGAGCCATCTTCTTTGGGCGAGTGACAGTTTCCACATCCTCATCATCATATGCCGGCCTGCAATACGAGAGTTGGGTTATTTCTATATTCTGAATATTCAATGCTTTAACCTTTTATACTTGCAGAGCAAACTACATCCTTGAATCATTAGCACATGTTAATTACAGTTACCATATATCACTGAAGAACTCAAGTGCCAAGGACATTTCCCTACCGTTTCTTGACAGGAGACCTGGTTGCTATTCTAGCAGGCACTCGAGGAGGTGGAGCTCTTGAGGCTGTGACCCTTGTTGCAGGGGCCCTTGCTGCTGGCACTCTTGAAGGCAACCTGGGTGGTGACTCCCATCCATCACTATACTGTGGACTTGGCTCCTAATCATGAGGAAATACCAGTATGACGTGAGAAAGACAGAAAAAAATACAAATAACTTGATCTTGTACATCAGTAAGGGACATGCATTCTACTGCACTTGTAAGAGAACAAGAAAAAGTCATAAAAACACTGATGCTAGGTTATATCCAATCATGTTATGGCAAAATTTAAAAAACATGGTGACATTTATCCCATCACAAGCATAGGCCACAGTGGCTTGGATGATGCCTTGGGAACCTGACTGAGTTTGACAATAGTCCTGATGTCAAGTGGTGCCTCCTAATGCACTAGGGCCTGGCCAAAGTTTACTCAATATCTTCCCCACAGTAAATGGGTTAGACAGAATGAACTGCCCTCTATTCCCTTGGGTGTTTATTATTACTGGTTCCTATGAAACATACTGGAAGTGACAATAAGGCCACTTTGTTAGACTTACCCTGAAATTATTTGCTGTAGTTATTTTTAAACGAGTAGGTCTGATCTCTTCCATTTCTGGAGACTTTCTGGAACGGTACAGCCTATGCTCA